TCTTCTTTCACCAGCATGCAGTAACTAAGGCACCTACCTTGCCAATACTTTCTTCAAGGGATTCTTTAAGCTCAAAGAAAGGTAAATGCCAGCTAAAATATCCAAACAACTTCGAATTATGGGATCACAAACACCATTGTTAGCTTCCTTCTCCAGTAATGGGACAATCTATAATTTAAAAAAAAATGTAATTCAAAACCATGATGATTTTTTTCTAATATCTATTATCCAGCTCAATACTTATTAACCTTTTTAATCCAAGGCCCCCAATTCCCACTTCACCCACTAGATCCTTGTCCGATGAGAACAGATCTCAAAGGTAAGGCATAGGAAATCCTTTTTTTTTTATTTTAAAGAAATACCTTTTGCCTTCAAGTCAATTTACCCTCTTAGTGACTTTATAGAACAGAACTGCATGTAGCTATCTCTTTATGAAAGCAGATGGCTACATCTTCCTCACAGAGCCGCTGGTGGTTCCCAATGCCAATCTCCCTGTTAGCAGCCGAGCACGTAAACACTGCACCTAGAAGGTTCCTTCTAAGAATTCTGTAACACTATTTAAAAACCAGCAATACGTCTACTGGTTTCACAAAAATATCATGAACATTCACATGGTAAGTTCTAACACTGACATAGTGTGAGTCATCTTTACATTCTGAATTAATCTCAGCTGTCTGCTAAAATATTTTGAAGATTCAGATTAAGAGAAATAGTTCTTTTTGTCTTTATCTCCACAAACAAAAGGTAGCTACACTTCTTATCGTCCTATCCCGATTTACAGTTCCAACTTAGTAAGAGCCTGAATGTGATTTCTATGGCGTTTTGGATAAAAGATATTATACAATACACAGGGGAAAAAAATCTATTCTTTAATGATACACTGATAGTGCACTGATAAATGTATATTAAATCATTGGTAGCCAGTAATAGCCAATTCTTTAAACAGTCCATAAATAGCATATGTAAGATGCATCTATAATGATCCATTCAGCCTTACCTGTTTGATACAATTGATTTGTGGCACACCATCTGTCAGCTGTACACAACGTAGGAGCAAAGAAGCTAGATTTTTCCCTTCTACGTCAGTGAACGCTACATAACACACAAGACATTTCTCCAGTCATCTAACAATACATGTACATTGTTTACATCTGTTACACATTTCTACAAAAGTTCAGTAATCAAAAGTTCTTTAAAAAGTGGCAGAACATAATTGGAAACAAAAACTTGGGAAGAAATACTAATAATAAGAGTTGCTGGGGGGTATGGTGGGGGAGGGAGGGGACAAAGGGGAGCTGATATCAAGGAGTTCAAGAAGAAAGAAAATGTTTTGAAACTGATGGTGGTAGCAATTGTACAATACTGCTGGATGTGATTGAACTAAGGATTGTTATGATATCTGTAAGAGCCTCCAATAAAATTATTTTTAAAAAATTTTTAAAAGAAAGAATATTAAGAATTGAATTGTTAAAAAAAAAAAAGAAGGGAAACAGAAATTAAGAAAATCATTGTATACCAAACACTGAATCTAAGAACTGTGGAAAAATTAAAGAGAAAAACATTGTAGTGTGGGCTTCCTAAAGATTAAAATACTCTGCTTGCGATATAGGGGGAAGGGGGAAAGAATCGAACAAGTCAGAAATGACTTACACCGTAGCGTTTCGAGGTCCTGATGACAAGCAGCCAGTGCAGCAACGTGCCTGTCTTTCTTCTTCTTCACACCCATGGTAAAGAGCGTCAATGAAGTCACTACAAGAAACAAGCCATTACAGGGCTGTCTGATGCAGGCTTTCTCAACCTCCACACTGCTGGCATGTGGAGCCAGATCACTCTTCGGCTGTCATCTATCCAATTTCACAGCTTCCTTGGTTCTTCTCACTAGATGACAATGGCCTCTCTCCACTCACTGAGGACAACAACACAATGTCTCCAGGCATTGCCAAAGAGGCCCTGGGCAGCAAAACCAACCTAGGCTGGTAATCTCTGGTCTAAGAACTTCTGCATTGAGAAGAAAAGGAAAAAAACACACCACCAAAAACCCACTGCCATCAAGTCAATCCCAACTTATAGCGACACTACAGAACAGTCCCACTGGCTTTCCAAGGCTGTGATCTTTATGGAAGCAGACTGCCACAGCTTTCTTCCAGAGCAGCAGGTGGGCTCAAACCTCTGACCTTTTGGTTTGCAGCTGAGCCCGTACCTACTGTACCACCAAAGCTCCGTTTTCACAGCTCAAACCAAACAAAAGCAATCTCAGTGTTTTCGCGTCAACTTCGACTCAGAGCAACCCATGCACGGTGTAGAACTGCCCCTGTGGGTTCCCAAGACTGGAAGCGAAAGCTTAATGTTTCTCCCACAGTCCGGCTGGTGGGGTTGAACCGACCTTTTGGTTAACAGCCTATCATTTAATCCACTGTGCCACTCAGGCTCCTTTTTACGTTTGAAAGGGGAGCCGTAATAAATGATGGAGCTGCCGATACAGTCAGATTTCTGAAAGGCCTCGATACAGTCAGATTTCTGAAAGGCCTCGAGAGCACCTTCTGCAGAGAACACCTGGCATCACCAAAGGGGGCTGCCATGGTACTTTTCACTGAATTCTCAATGCTTGAAAGAGTGCCGGGCACATACCGTATATACTCAAGTATCAGAAGACAAGTGCCTGAAACTCAGTTGGAGTAAGAGGAAATTGATCTTTTTGGCATTGCTATGGGTTTAGGCAAAGACAATGAAGCCTCAGGGTGGAGGATTCCAGCTCAGTGGTCTAACTACAGAAGGAGCTGACTTTTCAACAGAGAATCTCTCAATACTGGGAATGTCCAAACTGAATCAACGCTGCTTTTCACCTGAGCCCTGGAAGCATTGCTTAACTCCTACCTAACCTCTTCACATCTACCCTGTCCTCTAGAGAGCCCATTTGCCCCACAGTCATCAAAACCATTCTTTAAAAGCCCTCATCAAATTTTAATCACTTTCTTTGCTGATAGCATCCCTGGAGTTCCAATCATTTTTCGAATAAGATCCAAACTCCTGACCATAGCCATCTATCTGGTCCTGACCCCTGGTGGTACAAGATGTTTCAGTGCCAGCTGCTAACTGGAAAGCTGGCGATCTGAACCCACCCAGCAGTTCCACAGGACGCCCGTCTGACAATCTGCTTCCCTAAACAGAAACCCAGTGGGGCAGTTCTACTCTGACACGGGGTCACTAAGAATAGAAATTGACTCAAGGGCACCCAACAAGAATAGCCTTCCATTTGCACTTCATTGCAAGCCATGCTCCATTTTACTATCTCGGGGGCTTTGTACTTCCTGCCCCTCAGATTCCGTATAAGGTCTGGTAAACATTGGACTGCTTTCCACAAGGTCAGCAGTCCAAACCCACTAGCCCCTCCTTGAGAGAAAGCTGAAGTTATCTGCTGCCATCAAGATTTGCCACCTTGGAAACCCGACATATGTTGCTCTGAGTCAGAATCACTTGAAAGCAGTGGGTGTTTGGGTTCTTTTATCCCTCTCCCCATTAATGCGCATTCTACCCTATCTTTTCCAAGGGGATTCCTCACTCCGAGGGAGCATGACTCCAAGAAGTCTTCCACAATCACCCTACCTCCTACACACATGCACACACACTCTGGGCCTTCACTTTATATTCTTCACAGAATTGTCTATTACAGATATCGCCTTACCTTGTTTCCTTGTATATTGACTGTCTCTCATAGTAATAAAGCTTCATGGTACTTTTCACTGAATTCTCAATGCTTGAAAGGGTGCCGGGCACATACCGTATATACTCAAGTATCAGCTGAGTTTTTCAGCACATTTCTTATGCAATTTTTGTGATAAAATTAGGTGCCTCGGCTGATATTCTGGTTGGCTTATACTCGAGTGTATACAGTAATAGGTGCTCAACAAATAATTGATGAATAAACAAATGAATTAACAAACCTTTGCCAGAGATCTTATGGAAGGAATGTGACTTCAACACCTGCAGTGGGCTGGATCTAAAATCCATTGCATATTCTTATTTACAAGCTAGTCCCTGGCACTAAAGAACTGAACAAATATTTGGAAATTAAGACTTCCATCGTGAGAGTAGGCTACAAACAACCACTTAAGGAGCCCTAAGGGCTTGAAGGTTATGAGTTGAGTTGCCAGGTCAGCAGTTTGAAACCACCAGCCACTTCCAGAAGAGTTACAGTCTGGGAAACCCACATGGGCAGTTCTACCCTGTCCTATAGGGTCAATAAGAGACATCTACTCATTGACAGTGAGTTTGGTTTGGGGTCATGGAAAAAAGTAGTGAGAACGGCAACAGCTAGGAATGCACTGATAAGGGAGCAATTAGAAACATGCTATGATTAGATCCCAGGGAATGAACAACAAACCACTTCCTGGAGAAGGGGCGAATTGGGGAAAAACGACTCCCTGGTCAGTGATGAGCAGGTTTGCAGCAGGATCTGCCCTGGGAATCCTCAGGGTTGCACAAAATAGGCCCAGTGCTTGTTATGCGCCATTGAGTCCGTTCTGACCCATGGAGATACGAGATACAACCAACAAAATACTGCCCAATCCTGCCCCATCTTCATAACTGTTCCCATAGTTGCGTTCCGAGTTTCTGTCACTAAGTCCATCCTTCCAGTTAAGGGCCTTCCTCGTTCTGCTGACCCTCCATTTAGGACCAGTGGCTATGTGTGTTCAGTTGATGCTAAACATGTGTCCTGAGGCACAGGGCCTCCCCAAGAGGGACAAATCGGTGCCCACCCTAATGACCTTAAGTGGGCACGGATTTCCCTCGGGCTTTACACTGTTTCTGCTTCACTCCCACCCCCTCCTTCTAAGGGCGTTCCCACAACACTCGCAGGGTCTGGAATGACAGGAACCCTAGTGGGCAAAGCTCTGTTGCCATAGAAACCAGTTTCAGCTCGCCAAAGTCTCGCGACGCTGAAGGATGAGCACTCGGCGTGCCACAACGAGCTGGCTGTGCCCCGTGGCGGAGAGGAACGTGCTGCCGCGGAGTCGGCGGGCAGGCCGCCTGCGAGCCAAACCTCGTGCCGGGGAGCGTCGGGGCAGAGTCGCAGCGCCGGAGGAAGGCAGGAAGCGGGTCTGATTGCACGGCGCCTCCGTAACTGGCAACGTGGTCTCTCTCTAGTCGATTACCGGTTCGACGAGCAGGCAGCGGGAGGAGCCCGGGAAGAGAAGTTCTCGCGAGAGTTGGTCGCGTGCGGCTCCTCCAATCCGGCGTCCGGGGCGGAGCCTGGGGAGAGCGGCGTTCGTACGTAATCTGATTCGACGCGGCCTTTAAAGGACGCGCAGGTGATGCCGTTCGGCTCCGGGGCGGAAAAAGTTGGTCCTTCCGGGATGCAGACTTGACAGGCCGGAACACTACTGCCTGAACCTAGATCTTCCAGCCCGAGTTCGCTTTGCCACGAGCAGCGGGAAGAAAACCACTCCCGGGCAGCAGGAATGACAGTCGATATTTGTACGGCTGCCAATGAAGGCGCAGTAAGGATTTTGAAGAAAAGGAGACGTGCTGAAATTAACTAGCGGTTGCCAAAATGCATGTTTGCATCCAACAGATAATGAGCGCCATTGTCGGATCGTTGCCAGGTACTGGCGTTGAACGTTTATCTCCTAAGAGATATGCATGTGCTTATCTCATACTTATGTATATACTCCGAAAGAGAATATAAATATTCAGGTGACTCAACCCGTAAAAATGCAAACTAATTACGGCAACCTATTAACTTCCCTGCTATTACTATAATTGAGTATTGTCTGTGAGTTTCTATGTGACCACTGCAATGAATTCTTAAATGCATCATAGAAGTAGAGTGCTAAGGGAGATATGATTGGTGTCAGAATAGGATAACGAAAGATGGACGTGAAAGCAGGTCTGACCCCTGCCGCGTGGCACTAGGGCAGCCAGGGAGGTTAGAAAGAGCCCTCCACGCTGTTATTGCATACTTCTTTAGAGATTCAAATTATGTTACGTTTAATGACAAATGTTTACATGAATATTTCACTATTATTATATGTTCAGTTTTTAATATCTAATGTATACATATTGCTAATAAAATATTGCAAAAAGGTGTAAACTTAAAAAAAATCAAAATAAGTACATTAGCAATTAGGGTAGCAGGCGAGATCAGGAAATAGACTTGGACACAGGCCACCGTCCAGTGGTGGATCAAGAGGACTGGCGCTTGCAGTAGCGGTCAAGTGAGGCAAAAATTTTTATTTCCCAGTCCATATAAAAGTTATGTTTACACCATACGGTAGCCTATTAAGTGTGCAATAATGTTATGAACAAGCGTGAAATATTCCTAGAATCGCCAATATGTGACACAAATACAAGTAAGTACATGCTATTAGGGAAATTAGCACCTTAGACTTGCTCCACCTGGAGTTGTCACAAAACTTCCATTAGAAAAGAGCGTTGTCCAGGTCTGTCTGGATAGGACAGGCTGGATGAGCAATCTGGAGGAGAAAACAACGGGACTGACAGTTCCCAGGGGAGGTGGGGGGAAGGGAAAAGGTGTTAAACCCAGGGACAAGGGAACAACAAGCGATCCAAAATGGTGGGGAGGTGGGTGTGGGAGACCTGGTAGGGCATGATCAAGGGGAATGTAACAAAGGAAGTGCTGAAATCCTGGTGGGGACTGAGCATGATAGTGGGACAGGAGGAGAATCAAGGGAAATAGAGGAAAGAGCTGGGAGGAAAAGGGCATTTATAGAGGTCTAGATAAAGACATGTACATATGCAAATATATTTATATGAGGAGGGGGAAATAGATCTATGAGCCTATATTTATAGGTTTAATATTAAGGTAGCAGAAGGACATTGGGCCTCCACTCAAGTACTCCCTCAATGTAAGAATACTTTCTTCTATTAAATTGGCATTCTATGATGCTCACCTTCCCGACACACCCGCTGAAGACAAAGCGGATGAATAAGCAAATGTGGTGAAGAAAGCTGATGGTGCCCGTCTATCAAAAGGTATAGTGTCTGGGGTCTTAAAGGCTTGAAGGTAAACAAGCAGCCATCTAGCTCAGAAGCAACAAAGCCCACATGGAACAACATATCAGCCTGTGTGATCACGAGGCGTCAAACGATCACTGAAGACAAATGGGTGCATAAGCAAATGTGGCGAAGAAAGCTGATGGTGCCCATCTATCAAAAAGTATAGTGTCTGGGGTCTTAAAGGCTTGAAGGTAATCAAGTGGCCATCTAGCTCAGAAGCAACAAAGCCCACATGGAAGAAGCACAACAGCCTATGCAACCACACGAGGTGTCGAAGGGATCAGGTGTAAGGCATCATCAGAACAAAAAATCTTACCATAGTGAATGATGGGGGGAGTGCGGAGTGGAGACCCAAAGCCCATTAGTAGGCCACTGGAGATCTCCTTGCAGAGGGGTCTCAGGGAGGAGATGAGCCAGTCAGGGTGCGATGTAACAACGATGAAAAATACAACTTTCCTCTAGTTCCTAAATGTTTCCTCCCCGCTCCCACTACCATGACTCGAGTTCGAACTTGCAAGTCTGGCTAGACCAGAGGATGTACACTGGTACAGATAGGAACTGAAAATCCAGAGAATCCAGGGCGGATGAGCCCTACAGGACCAGTGGTGTGAGTGGCAAAACAGGGAGGGTAAAGGGAGAGTGGGTAGGAAAGGGAACCGATTATAAGGAACGATATGTGACCTCCTTCCTGGGGGACGGACAACAGAAAAGTGGGTGAAGGGAGACGTTGGACAGGGCAAGATATGACAAAATAACAATTTATAAACTATCAAGGGCTCATGAGGGAGGAGGGAGCGGGGAGGGAGGGGAAAAATGAGGACCTAATGTGGGGGGTTTAAGTGAAGAGAAAATGTTTTGAGAATGATGTACAAATGCGTTTTAAACAATTGATGTGTGTATGGATTGCAATAACAGTTGTATGAGCCCCTAATAAAATGTTAAAAAAAAAAGAAAAGAGCGTTGTCTTCCATGCTCAATATAGCCGAGTGCAAGGTACGCTTGAGCTAGCGTCAGGAACATTATCGGTAGGAAATATTAGAGATTTCAGTTCCCTAAACCTTAGATGGTCTTACCTATTTAAGCATTAACTTTTCTCAACTTTATCTCACTGTCCTGTGTTTTTCTTTACGCTTTTATATTTATACAAAGTATATTAATTTTACAAACTAACTTCTTACTCAATTTGACTTTGGTACTCTAAAGTCATCAAAGGTTGCTTCTTTGAGCTTGGCTTTTAAGATTCGTCAACAAAAAAGCAGGAAAAAAAAAAAAGAAAAAAAAAGCAGGTGGTTTTATTTCCTTCCTTCACTTAGTGATTATTACATTGTTTAGCATGTAACAGGCTATGTATCCTTTCTGCCACCTCAGGACACGTGTATTGCTCCGGCTTTTGCTCATCCCATGCTACTGGGAATTTGCTTGTAAGCCTCCATCCATTAAGTACACAACTTCCCTGAATGACAAGACATACATTGTACTCGGAAGCCAAGTGTATATATGTGCACACACATAACTGAAACAAAAATTTCTTGAAAGAATTGTTGCTTTGGGGGGTGGAGGCTGGGATGCCTTCTTGATATTAATGACTTCTTTAAAGTTACTTTTACTTTGTTTCTATGGAGAAAAAACAATCCAGTACAGATTTCACTTGTCCTTTGAAGGATGGCAACTTTAGCAATCTGCCTAACAAATTATAAAGAATATTGTCTATAGGACACTGATAAATTTAGGTCTTATATATGTCAGGGAAAAAGAATTCAAATAACTAGCATATTATGTCTATATTTTCCCCAAAGAGTTTTATTGGCATATAATTTACATATCATACCATTGATTAATTCAATCGTTCAATCCTATGGAGGGGAACTATACAATCAGAGCCTCCCTCCCCCACCCAATGGTTGAATCGCCTTTAAAATAAGTTGTGCGATCACAATCAGTTTCTAGTGCTTTCTTGATAGTAATGACTTCTTTATACAAAGCTTTTTCTTAGACATATGAGTGTCACTGGATTTGTTTCTCTAGCCACCCCAGCCTAACACAGAGGATAAAAACAAGGGCAGGTGAGGGAGGTGGTAGGGTTAGGTCATATACTTATGGTCTTATGGTCCATTGTAAGGACTTGGACTTTTTAGTGACATGGGGAATCACTTTGAGCAGAAGAGTCAAAGAATCAAATTCACATTTCAAAAGAATCACTCTATCTACGAGGAATAGACTTGCAATGGGAGCGGGAAGCTAATCCTGTCTGGCAGGAACCCAGGTAGGCAAGGTGACGGTGGATCAGACCAAGATGGTAACAGTGAATGGGTTTGAGGGGTGGACAGATTCTGTAAAGAATTTGGATGTAGAGCTAGCAAGATGTTTTAGAAGATAGAATACAGGGCAACTAGAAGTGGAGTAGTAGGGGCAAAAGCTTGATCGAGGCAGATTTGAATGGCTTAAGAGGAACCGGGAGAGAAATAATTGGCAAAATCAAGTAAAACTAGTCTAGCACTTCTAGCCCCAAAGTGACAAAGAGCAAGGGGACTTCTCGAAGAAGTCAGGGCCAGAAGAGGTTTGGGTTGTAAAGATGGAAAAGTGGCCACTTTGGAGGAGAGGATATGCCTTTGCTTTTTTTTTTTTTTAATTAATCTTTTTATTGGGGGGCTCTTACAAATCTTATAACCATCGATCACTCGATTCTAGCCCCAAAGTGACAAAGAGCAAGGGGACTT